AGTTCAATACAGAAGGAATTAGAGGGCCCTGCTCATGGAGCTTACAATCTAAAGGGATAGCCAAGTTAGAGTAGTTTCTCCCTTTTTGGGTGAGTAGTCTCCCAACAGAAATGCACAGAAGCCAAAATATGGATAAAAGCACAGTGACTAGTATAGAAGAAATGTGCTAGTTAAGACCCCTACGCCTCAATATACACTTAAATATACCAATAAATAAGACCAAAACACTGTTGGAGTAAAATGGCCATCACAGCCTTTTATTAACAACTCAACTTCAATAACACAAAAACATTCCTTAAAACAGAAACATACAGGAGAAGTTGTTGGCCTACGAAGGCACCAAACAAAAAAAAAACGATATCCCCCTGCGGAACCTTAACTATATTATTAAAATTAGGCCTCCAGCCACAACACACACCGTCACACCATCCGCAGTGCAGAACCTCCACCTTCCAGTTAAACCTCAGTTAACCAGAATGCACTCGGGCTCACCATACCACAGATGGGTCCCAACCATTCGCTTTAGCTTAAAAGTATGTGCCGCCTCCAAAGACCAACAACCGCCCCCAGAGCCAGAACAAACCGGCAACTAAAAAAAAACCCCAAACAAACCCTAAGGGAGGGAAGCTTGCTCCACCACTGTCACTCCTGCATTGTCCGACTCCCCACCATTCCCCAAGGTGTCGAAGACCACACCCTGAACACCCCATCACCAATCAGGTATCCTACACGTTTCACTACATTCCACCTTTACCTAACCCTTTCCTGTCTTTCCTATCCTCTCTTCACCTAGTTATGTCTGCCCTCCGCTATTTTCTCTTTCTTTCTTTGTTCGCTTCGGGCACTGCTGAAATGTATCATTTAGTGAAATATTTATTTTCTCCTGTCATTTTGCCAGATTTTCTGAGACTTTTTGTGAATATACAAGCATATACATCATTTGCTGCATGCGCCTCTCAATCAAAACATAATACAATCTACATGCATATCAAAATGGTCTAATCTCTTATATATTTAATATATGTCATATGTATTGAGAATATTTAAAAGTTCCACAAATATCTTTGGAGATATCTTTGGGAAATTTTTTTGCAAGACAGAATTGGATTAAGAATAGACAAGTATTCTTACAAAGGTGCGTAAGTTGAGCTGTGTGAGCTTTTTCATACGAACTTTGCAATCGGGTCCACCTGTTTTTCAGGCGGACCTGATCGGAACTTCCATTCTCCTCTATGGAGCGGTGGGTGTAAATGGACATGTGTACCTTTACACCCACTGGCATCCAATCCGATCCGCCAAAAAGGGACGGATGGGGATCCAATTCCCCTTCCGTCCATCGGATCAGATCAGATGAAAGCGGACAGGTGGTCCATTTTCATCTGACCGCCCATTGTGAAAGGACCCTTAATAGAGGGGTTTCATCAATTTTAAGGTTTGGTAGATGGATATCAGAGTGCGACTTTGAAGAACATCAGACAATGACAATGGCTATTCTCTATCAATCCAAAACAGAGCTGTTCAAAGATAAAGCAATGAATTCACTAAATATAAAAGCAAAAATTACTTTAAAGTATAACTGAGGGTAAAACTTTTTTCCCTTATTTTGGATAGAGTAAGAGAAAGTTAGAAACTCCATCAGCTTTTTTTTTTTTTGCCATCTGTTTCCCATTGGCGAGATTTCCCCTTTGTTAGTGTTCCAATGTCAGCTGAAAATGTGGGATTTTTGTTTCCTTTCACTTTCAATGATAAGGAGAAACAGAAGAAATAGAGAGAGTGAATCCCTCGAACTGAGGCACAGACAGCAGTAAAAAAACCGACAGGTGTTCTATACCCTTGCCACTCTATCCATCCCAGTGGATATGATGTCATAAAATGAAATATTGATTGGTTTCATGAGATAAATTCAAATTTTGTTGGCCACTAGATGGTATCGTACTCCCTCCAGACTTCATCGGTTTAACTCATCTGTCCCTGACGTGTGCTGGAGATGTGGGACACCTGATGGCTCTCTCTTACATATTTGGTGGTCCTGTCCACTTATTCAACCATTCTGGCAGGAGGTCCACCGGTTGGTGACTTCAGTGACCACTCTGCCCATTGTTTTCTCTCCTGCTCAGTTATTGCTTCATCATACCCCCATTCCTAGGAGTCAATATTTTAAGTCCCTAGCTATGCATATGATCAACGCAGCCAGACTCTGTCTTCCTGTGCTATGGGGCTCCACCCACCCCCCAACTGTACGCGATTGGCTCAATCGAGTGGGCAAAGTGGCAGAGATGGAGGAACTGATTGCGACTGCACTTGATATGCCAACTAAATACTCACATGTTTGGGCCTGCTGGACACACTTTGTAACTACCCCTGAATTCGGATCTCTCATGGGTCGGGATACCTGATTGAGCTCAGCCCTACCTCTGGTTATGCCCCTGGTTCTTTCATAATCTGCATGGTTATGACCTCCTTTCCGGTAATTTGTATTTGCCTGCTTCGCTTTGGTGAATGTTTAGGTTCTTGACACTCTCATTTACGATTTCCAATAGCAATGTTGACACAAACTTCGCAACCCGGACCGTTCGCTTCCCTTGCTTACCCCTTTTTTTTTTTTTTTTTGCCTCTTATCCCCCATTCTCCCTCTCCCCTTACTCTCCCCCCCCCCCCCCCCCCCCCTTTTTTTTTTTTTTTCTTCTTTCTCTACTATGACTCCCATTCTTCTCCTTTTACTGTTCTTTTCTTTTCTTTCCTTCTTTCTATTCCCTTTTTTTTTTCTCTTCCTTTCTCGACAAGCTCTTAGTCTTCGATCAGGCTTAGTCTTCGTTTCATTCAGGATTACTTGGTATATGGTTAGCTTACCTCTTCTAGGATAGTCAATGGTACTCACGACATCTTCTCTTATACTGCGATGCTCACTTAGCCTCCTGATAGCGTACTGCTTTTGGTTTAGGCTCCGAAGGTTCATTTCCTCCCTGCATAGGCCAGTACGCCATTAATCAATTGGTGGCAGTAAGCTGTTATTACCTTCTTTATTGTATATTTGTGAAACTTGAGTACTACAGGCCTATCTCTGCCGTAACTTGACATGCTTATGTTGTCCACAGTGTCGCACTCTACCATGTTGTTTCTTCCTGTATTTTGGTTTAAGCTGTGTCTATGACCTGATTGAGGCTGTATGTGCATTTCTGTATATTTTACTGTAATATGTTGTCACTTCTAAATAAACTTTTATGGAACAAAAAAAATTCAAATTTTGATGGAATAAGGCATGACTTATTTTACAAGCTTATTTAGTGAATTGCAATTTTTTTTTTTGAAAAACACTAAAAGGTATTTTACTGTGGATCCTAAAGCAGTAGATAGCTGCTTTGTGAGTGGAGGCCATTGTCCTGTGTAATAGGTGATCCAAATAGTGGAATATTGTGTTCTCATACAGAATTAGACAATTGTTGTCTCTTATTGGGAGTACTTTATTTTAATGTGGTTTTTTTTTTCTAAAGTAGATGTTTTACTAAATGTTGGCCCACTCTTCCATAACCTCTTAAAAATCTATTACTTTGATCATGTTAAGTGACAAAAGGAGTTGAGTTGGAACCTGTTATTTTAATGATTTACTAAGAGATTTTCTTATTGCAGACTGTTTGATATTTGGCCTTTAAAATGATTCCGTTTGTCTACCAATTAAACTGCTCCAATACCGTTATATGTATATATACGACCTCGTATTGAAGTGTTTATATAGGGATCATGGTTGAGGCTACAGCCATGATCCTGGTATAATTTGTTACTGTTGGTGATTCTCTTTTATGTAAAAGTAATGTGAACGGCTATGTGCCGCTGGATTACTTTTACAGGTGGTGGAAGGTGAGCAGGACCCTCCTCCACCGCATTTACCAGGATGTTCAGTGCTATCGGGGAACCTAGTAAAGACGTGACCAATGGCATCGGCTTCCCCACAGTGGGAGGAGTTGGTATCAGAAATCAGAAGCGACAAGGATTTTGTCACTTCCGGCTTTGGCTCTGTGTTAATGGCCGGTTACCGTCCAGTAAAGCATCTGATCAGACAGATCTCTGTCTGATCAGCTGCATTGGTGGCCATAGGAGAGATCTGGGGTCTAATAGACCATATATCTCTCTATAAAAAGATCCTGTCATGGCCTATGCTATCAGCAGGGATTTTGTTCATCCCTTCTGATAGCAATAAAAGTGATTAAAATAATAAAGGTGTAGTATAAAAAAAAAAAAAATAAATAAAATAAAAGCTAAAAAATGTAAAGTGTCCCCGTCCCCTCGTGCTTAAGAGCAAATGTCCCTCATGCATATGTAAACAGTGATTGTACCACACATGTGAGGTATCACTGTCAGAGTGAGAGCGATAATTCTAGCACCAGACCTCCTGTGCAACTTTAACCGCTTGCCTACAGGGCACTTATACCCGTCATGAATGTTGTTGTCATGCAACACTGTACCCACATGAAATTTTTTAATTTTTTTGTGACAGATAGAGCTTTATTTTGGTGGTATTTAATTACCTCTGGGTTTTTTATTTTTTCTTAAACAAACCAAAACCCGCTGAAAATTTTGAAAAAAAAATGTTTTTTCTTAGTTTTTGTTGTACAATTTTGTAAATAAGTGATTTATCTCCTTCACTGATATGCGCTAATGAGGCTGCAGTGATGGGCACTGATAGGCTTCACTGATAGACACTGATAGGTGGCACTGATGGGCACTGATGAGGAGGCACTGGTAGGTGGCACTGATGGGTATTGACAGGCATCACTGATGGGCACTGAAAGGCAGCACTGATATATGGCACTGATAGGCGGCACTGATAGGCGGCACTGACACTGATATGCGGCACTGACTGGCACTGTTAGGCAGCACTGACTGGCACTGATAGGAGGCACTGACGGGCACTGATAGGCGGCATTGATGCACACTGATAGGCGGCACTGACTGGCACTGATAGGCAGCACTGACTGGAACTGATAGGTGGCACTGATTGGCAGCACTGATAGGTGGCACTGATTGGCATTGATAGGTGGCACTAACTGGCACTGATGGGTGACACTGAAAGGCAGCTCAGATGGGCACTGATATGTGGCATTGATGTGCACTGGTAGGCACTAATATGTGGCATTGATGTGGCACTGGCACGTGGCACTGTTTAGCACTGGCAGCTGGCACTGATGGACACTGACAGGTGGCACTTCTGGGGCCACACTGATCATCAGGGCACACTGATTATCAGTGCCCTGATGATCAGTGTACATGTCCCCTCCGCGGAATGCCGATTACCGGCTCTCCTCTCCTCTCGAGCTGTCAGCGTGACAGCTCGTGAGGAGAGAAATGCTGATAACCGGCATTCCCCTGTTTACATGTGATCAGCTGTGATTGGACACAGCTGATCACATGACCGAGCCGACATCTTCAGCTCTTTCCATAGATCGGTGATCTGATGTGTCCGAGGGACACAGCGCACCGCCAATTGCAGAACCACCTTGCGCCCGTCATTGGACTATATGGCGGGCAGGAGGTGGTTAAAATGGTAACCTGTAAAGTCTTTTAAGGCGTCACCTGTGGATAATTTAAAGTACCATAGTTTATCGCCATTCCACGAGCGCACACAATTTTAAAGCGTGACATGTTTGGTATCTACTTACTCAGCATAACATCATCTTTTATACTTTACCAAATAATTTGGTATTATATTGTGTTTTTTTGCTCACTAAAATTCATTAAAGTGTATTTGTCCAAAAAAAATGCATTTGAAAAACCATTGCGCAACTACACCTGCAACATCCGCAATTTTATTCTCTAGGACCTTTTCTTAAAAAAAAATAACATTTGGGTGCTCTAAGCAATTTTCTAGCAAAAAAAAATTAATTTTTACATGTAGGAGAGAAATGCCTGAATTGGCAAGGCAAGTGATTAAACTAATTCTAGCCAAATAACATTTTTTGCACTTTTTTTCTTAGAATTGCATAGAAAATAAAACTACTTTTTAAAGGCAATATTTGTAAAACAACTTTACCTGTCCTGAAAAAAATTATATATTTATTGCTTTGGTATCATACTGTAAGTAGTAATAATATGGTTGGCTCAATATGGCCAAAACTAAAATGAAAAAATTGCATTGGTCCATAAGGGTTAAAAAAGGTGCCAACGGTCATTCTTATTTGAATTAAACAGCATTTGTTGTCTGGCTGAAGGTGCCTAGATATGCCTTATAAATAAGTCAAACAGTGATAAATCAGAATCTGCTGCATTCTGTGATATTTATAAGATTCGCTAGCAAAACTGAGCTGACAGGTTTGTGGAGTGCCCTGAAACACTCCATGGATTTTGTGCACTTTGCATTTTGTGCTCATGCATAATCCAACCGTCCTGTAAAATATGTGCCCATCTTTGCATTAGATTTACAGTACTGTAAACATGATAACGCTCTGATTGGCTCAAGTCCTACCTCTCTTGGCTCTTTGAAAGAAATATTTGGGTAATTGTATTTACTTTATTACAAATGCATTTATATATACTTACCTCAGACCCTTTCACACCGTTATATTTTAACGTGCTTTTTAAAGCACAAATAACAGAAGTGCCATTAGAACCAATGAGGCTGTTCAGATCTTTGCAGTGCAGTTTAAAAATGAGGCATGTCCTCATAGTGAATCAGTGCTATCCTACAGGTGAAGGCAGGTGCAGGTTGACCTCCATACACAGGAGGCACTGTTGCATCCACCTTGCAGGGAGAGAGAGGAGGACAGGAGAATAACCCATTCCTCTTAAGCCTCCACATGAGTCCTACTGGATGCTGCCACCCAGGTGACCTCTGCTGCCATTTTTAGTGAGGGCAAAACTTACAAAAAGCCCTGGCTCACTACAATTGGTTCGGGACAGAAACCCGCTTGTCAGGGAGAATGTGCCTATCGTAGCTAAAGGTTCCAGAAGAGAAGGGACAGCATAGACCTATCGCCAGAACTCCTTGGGGAACTTCTCCATTCCTTATGCTTACTGCTTCTGCCTTCCAGCCGCTCCCCACACCAGGTGCTGCCAGCTTCTGTGCATTGCATTGCTCTCTCTCAAGTCCTGGATACTGCTGTGAGTGTTGCCATTTTGTTTCATATCACTGAATAGACTCTGTTACTGTTTTGGAACAATTTCACAATACAACTTCACACTTTCAACCAGTGTGTATGCTGTGCCTTCCCACTGGGGTGCCTACCACCTGGGCTTGCCCCTCCCCACAACCTACACAGAGACAGATACTTCAGGGCCTGTGGCCTACAGTTCGATGTCCTACACACTTGTTGACCATTCCCCCAAATTACTCTTTGCTTGGTCTAGAATTTATGGACCTTTCATGTAAGAGGATTGATCCAAGGCTGGCCCTTCTACATCACACCATTGAAGAACATACAGCCTCCCAGAAGAAACAGGCCATTGATCTCTTTTTAGCACCCAAATAAACCATAGCCAGAGCATGGAAAAACTGGGGTCAATCTGCACAAGGTGAAAGAGCACATGGTTGTGATCCATGCCAATTTGAAGATGTTCTGCATCTTCCAACCTTGGAATTCTGGCTTACTTATGCTCCCCTTTCCCTGAATTCCTCTAGTCTTAGCTTTATGTAGAGCATTTATTTGATCCACAGGGAGAACCCCAACACTTTAGTTGCTTCCCCCTACCTCACCTCTAGTCCCCCCCTTTCTCTTGCAATATTCTCCTCCCTCACCTCTTTAGCACCTTCCCCCTTCTTATTCCTCTCTTTCCCAGTCTACCATCATTACCTCCTTGTAAAAGACCAGTATAGCTATCCAGACCAATATACTACCCCAAAGGTGACCTACCAGTGACTCTGTAAATTAGCCATGTGCAGTGAGCTGCTGCCTTTTTTACCATTAGTGTCTCCAGTGCTGTTTTTTTTTTTTTTTTATTTTGCCCCTGCTTGGATTACTCTAATCTCTTAAAAGCAATACAAATATTGATACTGAACAATGAGCCATGTCCATTTTTCTGTACATTTTCATGTGCCAAATGGAATAAGAAAAATGCATGTAGATGTGCTACAATGGATATTAAAAACATGCTAAAACAACAGACAAAAGCTGACATGGATAGATGTGAACCAGGCCTTAAGGTTTTAATTAATATAATGAATGCTGAACTAATGTATCTAATATTTCCCATGCTGGCAGAAGTTGGTATTTTAGCCTGCAGTTAGGTATCAGAGTTCAGCAGTTACTGGAGGATTCAGAGCTACATAAAAAAAAAAACAGAATCATCTGATCATAAATCTAACCTTTGTTTTTCTTGTCTAAATTTTTTTTTTTCTTGTAAAGCTGTGACTGACAGGCAACTCAAAAGACATGGAAAAGTCATTTAGAAAAGAATATACAGTAATACCGATAAGGAGCTCTTGTGTTTTATTTGTATTGTTTGCTTTGCTTGGCTTGTAAAGTATGTACATCAGTTCACTGTCAAAATTAATATATATTTTACATAATAAACATTTGTACATTTTATGAGAACCAGATGTTTCACTGCAATCCAATACTTACGGCACGTATTCAATAATGCATTTAGAACATAAAAAGCGGCGTCTTTTGAGAATTACGATCTCCATCATTTCAGCATGTAAGGAAATTTATGGCCAGTAAACAAACCAGGGCAAAATGCTACAGGATACAGTGAAAGCAAATATTGTCTGGTTTCTGGAACTGTGTTGAATAATGAGGTGCATCATTTTGACGTTTGCTTGTTATGCAGTTGCATATACTGTACACTAGTGTGGCACTTTAGTTTTTGTTATTTAAGCCACCATTATGGGCTAAAACTATTTTCTCCCATCCTTACCTCCCACTCCCCTCTAACCCATTCTACTAGGCATTTTTTCCCATTACTACGTGAAGCCAGACATTCTTGTAAGCAGGTACATGTTTCCTCTCTATCCCGTAGGTGCCACTGTGCCATTATTAAAGATGGATTGATGTCTGTTGGGGGAATTGCCCCTTTCGTGGACCCCATCAGTGTCACAGAGAGGCCATCTGTCTGATTGAATGCTGCAACCTCTGCAGATCTCAGGTGGCCATCTTGTCTTGGAACATCATATATTGGTCTCCTGCATCATTCGGGCATGCCTGGAGTGAATGGTAGGTAACTGACAGAAACTCCCCTGGCTAGGGAAAGTGATTAGTACAGGGAGAGGTTCCTGTTAAGTAGGGTACGGACAGGGGCAATTCCTGCAGAAGAGGAACATCACGGTAACCAGAAAAGTTAGTAGGGCTCTTCCTACCAGCATTGTAGGGCCATCTCAGTGCAATGCAAATCGCCACTCCTCCAGCAGAAACCATCCTCTGGTGATACAAGCCCAAGCCTGATAACACTGTGTAAATACAAACTGCTTCATTGCCTTATATTAGTGCCTTCAAGAATTGTCATTATTCATTACTGTTTTCTTTTATACATTTAGGCAGGTGCAGTTCCTGCCTTTTGATGGCTCTGTGCCATATTTACAGGGGAAGGATAATCTCATAAGATAAGGAACTCATACAGTTCCTCTAGTGTATAAATTGTCTGATTGGACACTGAACCTCTGAGAGACATAGGTGGCCATTTTGGGTGTGGGAACTTTTTAAAAAAGAGAACTCACCTCATTTTGTTGCGCTTCTGGTGTGTGGATAGTCATGAACAAGAACCCGTTAGTGAGGGACAGTTCAGGGCAGACTCCTTGGTTATTACTGATACTCCGGTGTTCAGATCTATAGATCTAGGCCAAAGACTTGCTTGCCTGGGTGTATTGCATAATAACAAGAACTCAGATAAAGAATATGCTCCCAACTTAAGGTACCTAACTTAAGTCTTGCCTACATACAATAAACATGAAAATTAGTAACAATCATGGATTGTGTGTGTGTGGTCTCTACCTGGCAGGGTACCTTGGGCCTGGGGTCTGCCTTCAGTCTTACCTATGCTGTCCCTCTAGGTCCATTGCTCCCACTGCTCTCAGGTGCCGGGGACCTTGAATCTGTAGAATGGAGCCTGAGATCACTGGTCCCCTGCTGTTCCTCTACTGTTTTCACTTCTGGATCCTGAGATGATTCCACCAATGGTCATCCAATTGGAAGGGTTCATATAATTCAAACACTGATGTGGGCACCTGAAGAAAAACCCAAGTAGTAAACAGAAGATGAGAAGCCGCCGGGCTGCTGTGTCAAATAACTGTGGCTCAAGGTATGTAAATAAAAACATTTTTTAAAATCAGCAATCAGATAGATAAACAGTATATAACTAAGTGTGTCGTGGATCAAGACTTTAGGTTAAATTAGTAATTGGGATTTCCAGCAAAAAGGATTAAAGATTATTGAGAACTGCTATATGCCACACTTGCTGACACATAGATATTCAAGCA